GTGTCACCGTCATGGCAGTCTTATAGGGATTTATTTCTAGATCTATAGGGTATTTCTACCACTTTCAAATATTTGGCGTCATTATACTTAATGTGGCGATTTTCGTAACGTTCTGAAATTCTTACAATACATGGTGCAATAACAGCCATCAGAGGCTAGTCACGCTGTTTCAGTTAGACTATGTAAAACGATAAGCCTATGTTACTGTTGGGCCCTAGTGGAAGCGACAACAGTTAGAATATCATATGCTGAAAACTGCAGGGAAATGAAACTTTGTCGTCGTAGAGGTTTAGCATGCACGCGCATATCATCATGAGAGCCCTAAGTGATTGCTGCCGTGTGAAACAAAGATCAATTTAGTCTTCTAGTGTTCAGCAAAGCATACCAATGTCACTCTATCATGCCTTCACCGCACAGAGTCGCTCCATATCCAACTCCTGGACCGGGAGAATTTAATGGAAAGAGAACAAAAGTGGGACTGAGAATGGGGTGAGTCGGTACGCATTTATTATTCTGAAAAGGACTCGAAGTAAAGAGACGAACAGAGTGTTCGCGTGTTTTCCGTATTTGTCACGCCGTTTTCACTAGCGCAAAAGTAGTGACAAAAAAAAAAATCATTTGGTGAAGTGAGAAGCTGGTCGCAAATAAAGAGGATCGCTATATGAGCCAGCAAAAAAGGGTCCCTGTATTTCTGCGGCCAATCATGCAATACTGATTGTAAATGTTGAAAACTAGAAACTGACCTTCTCGAAAGCTATAGCAGTGCTTGAATTGACACGAACAATCATATTTATGCCTTCGATAAGCGGGACAAGTATACACTTGACAGATCTGCTTGTCTCTGTTGTAAACGACGGCGTCTACAAGACTTTTATGAGCAATTTCTCCACACGAAATGCATAAAAAGACATTCTCAGTGGCTTTTAAAATGCTGCTTTTGATATAAACACCAGAAGAAAACTTTGTTAAAAAGGAGGTAGCCTGAATAAGTTATACAATTATGCGAGTAATTAATTTCAGAAACGAATCGAATACAAATTGAATAGCGGTGGCATTAACTAAATATGAATATGAGTTGAGGACCATTCGAATAGTTTTCGAATAATAAGGCAATCATCTTCAAAGCTACCCCAGAATAGTAATGTGACCATTTTCGAAACAGCTGAAGAATTTCACCACAATTTTTTTTCAAATTAAAAATTGCTAAGCTTTAGGAAATGAACACTGTGATTACTTTTAACCAGCAAAAATAAAATTTGACCAACATGGAAACTCGTAAGCACGTAAAAAACAGCAACTATAGAGCCTTAGAAACATTTTATAACTACAGGTTGAAATTCAACACTGACTACAGTATTCCCTGTGGTATCTTATCAGTAGATTTTAAGTAAAACTTGCGTATAAATATTGAACTATATTCAGGAGTCAACATCATTGGAAATATCATAATACAGATCACTGAGGTGACACTGGAGATTTAAGCAAAAACACGTTCATCCTATGATTATGCTAGTGTCAATATTCATTTAAAAGCTCGGGCTGCATGCATCTTAGAAACTCTATGATGAGAACAAGTTCTACGATTAGAACAAGCAAATTGACGCCCCTGTTCTAACATTTTGTTACTTTTAAGATTTGTTGTTCTAAAATATTCAAAAAGTATTCAGTTTTCCCAATGCTTTTTTTTCAAGTGAGTACGGAATCAAATAGAACGTCATTGAATTCGTTATTCGAAGCTTTAGAATATTCGCCCATCCTTATAAATAATGCCTGAGTAACGACATTAAAAAGGCATTCGAAGAATTTTTCCTGTACTTTAGGGAATTTATGGGAGTCAATAAAATAGTGAATTAAGTTGGCATAATTGAATTGTCAGCCCTTAGCTGGACCTGGCTTGAGTATACAGACGTGCATTTACGTGCCGTGGCGCGACATGGTCACGTGATCTATTATAAATCACGAGTATTCGTTAGGTATCGATCGGGTTAAATTGGGTGTCGCTTGGCAATGAAAGCGCGAGCAGCTTACTTAAGCTTATTTGCTTAACTGGCCTACTTTTCATATATGAGGCTAAGTCTTGATTGCCTTCATTCCAGAAAACCTTGGCCTAGTAATAGCCTAATTAGTCTACCTATTGCAATAGTTCTAATTTGAATGTTTGCGGAATCGAATTTATTAACTTGAATTCCAAGTAAACCTAAAGTTAATGAGCAAATGAACGCATTTATTACTAATTCGTAATGATCATAATTAGGCCTATATATCTCGGTGCAACTTGCAAGCACGGCATGACTTAGGTACACCAGAATCTCTACTCTGCTTAATTAAGACCAATTAGAATTTGACATAAATAGTTTCATTACGCTTAGCAAATTTTCCATGCTAGACTAGGTTTAATTAGGCTGCGCTATGATGAACTTGTCTTGACGTGGCAAAGGCAAGCTGCGCTGAGCTTATCTTGTCTACATCGCTAGTCGGGCAAACGGTGGGCATGACAGCTCTGCTGTAATAATTCGAAACCATCGCTGCATCTCTACTGCATCTTTTGTTACGAGTGGCAACGCGCAGTACCTCGTGAACTCTTCAGTCGTATTGAAGAAACCCCGTAAAGCACCAGCCGGTAGCGGCTTGTCACGAACTGATGTACATGAAATTCGGCAAAAGTTCAGCAGCGCCACTTGGCAACCTTGACCCTTTCAAGCTAACCAATCCGCTTCCCAGCGAGGTTCACAACAAGCCATTACTTTATCCAAAACAAAACAAAAACCAAGACACAAGAATAAACAAATCCACAAATGCGTTCGAAGCCACAAGCACGAACACAATATATAGGCAAATCATGTGACTCAGGATGACTGAACGATGCCAGCACCCGAGTTCCCTGTAGCAAATATTGATGTATATATACGATACAACGACTGAAACATTCGGGAACATGGGCTGTCGGTGGAGCCGACGTTTCGAGAATCGGACTTGTTTTTCAAGGATGCCCTTGCTTTCATGAATTTCTCATTTGTAAAAGCTTCCATCTTCCCTTGAACTTCAAGCCTTTCTTCAATTGCACAAACTATAACCACATATTATCTGGAATACCAATATATATATATATATATATATATATATATATATATATATATATATATTATATATATATATATATATTATCTGGAATACCAATATATATATATATATATATATATATTTAATCTGCGAACATCAGAAATCATATTGATATTTGCTGCTAGGACTCGGCAATACTCAGTGAGGTTAGAACTGCGCAAAAAAAAAAAAAAGAAAGGAAAGGACAGGTCGAAGGAATAAGCAAGATACTACTGGCGCAGTCTGCCAACTGCATATCCTTGGTAAAAAATTACAAGCATTTTTCAAGCAAGAACCTAAGCATGTGACCACATCGTCACTAGTACCCATGCCGTTAATCGCGAAAAAAAATTCTGTCGACTAACTTTGTCGCGGAAGTTGTAAATAACTCATCAGATAAAATATTTACAAACATACATCTCCTATAATGACACCGGAGTGAACATATTATCTGAAGGCTCAGATATAGTTTGTACACAAGGTGCATTGAAATTTATTGCAAAAAAAAAAAGGTTGAATTAAAGGAGGCTCATGGCGTGAGCACTTATATATCCCAATGTACTCGTAATCTGGCAGAAGTGGGATCGCGTGCCCCTGTCAGACATCAAGGGCTCAGATGCATTTTTAGAATGCGAAGCAATATTGTTGAAAATTCTTACAGGCACGAGCCGGTATAGTCTTTTTCCACGAGCGGTCTTTAATTATAACTTGACGGAATATGATGTGTACCCATCTAAGTTACTTATTCCTAGGTCGTCTTTGCAGGCGAACATAATTTTCTCCGTATTTAAAGAAACTTTTCTGAATATACAAAGTTCAGCTTACGTATATGTGGTTGCATTGAGTTTTAACTTATACACACTCTATGCATACCTAATGTATCTTCTGTCTTCCTTCAGTAAACGCAAAAATCGTGCCATACATGCCAGGACAGTGGTGGCTGCTCCATTTCAAATGCAATAGCAATATTTCGCAGTTGTTTTTTGCTGGCAAACTTCTATACCACGCGTGTACTGTATATGCTTTGTTCCAATATTTCGTCAACGGAATCTCTATAACACATCAGTCTTCGGGAGAACTTCATAGTTTGCGTGAAAGGGCTGTTTTGCTGCATACGCGTGCAGTGCACCTGCTTACTTTAAAGCGTTAGCTTGCCTCAGCTTATTCCACAGGGTCGTATCATGCCGCGTGCCACGCAAGCTATGGTGGTGCATCAGAAGGTGCTTCTATTGACGGATGCTGTATGTACTATATTGAAAAAAAAAGAAGTTCACTCACATGAAGGAAAGGTTATTTCCCTGTAACACCACCAGATAATGTAGCCCACCACGCATAAACAGGGTGCCTCGATGCCAAACACTGCTGCCATCGAGACATCCTGCATACGCATAATGGCGGCGGAACCCGCCAAGCATCGTCGAAATATCCGGCGGCACAATCTCGTCGCCCCTTTTCCTTCGAGAGTCACTGCCAGCGCTGGCGTTTGCTGCCGCATTGAGTTAATCATATAGTAGTGTTCACTCATGGGGCATGTAACTGGTGTGTGCAGTTGGTGCGCTGATGGGTGTCTGGCTGTGCCAGTGCGTATATATGCTAACGCAACCACTGATCAGCGTCGCAGAGTACGACGGAATAGTTTAACGTCCTCAATATCTTTCACCCTTAATCGTCATGCAGAAAGTAAGTTATTCGCTGAGATTGATATCGATATCGATGCCTGTCAGGTACCACAGATAACACTTAAAGATTAGCCTTACGTTCTTGTGACCATTGTGATCTTTTTTATGCAAAGCTTTCGCAGTGCCTCTAACAGTATAGCTCTCTGACGAGCTGCATGAGCCCTGACATTGCTGTCTTGTGAGGAATGTATAGCTGCTCTGACAGACCGGGCAAGCACTCAC